CAGCTCCAGGGAGTTCCTCTTTTTGAGAAATGGACTGAGTTATGCCTTCAAGTCCCTCAGCCTGCCATTATTCCTGAATGGCCCATGGCAGAAGAGAAGGAAAAAGAAATAATATTCTCTAGGAATCTTGCACTTTTGGAATTCAACTTTTCCTTCTCATGGATTCATACGGGCTTGAGATGTTTTGTCAATACTCACAGTGTGTCCCAAAACTCTACACAGACAGAAGAAGGCCCAGAGGTGATAACCCTACAAATGTTAGGTGATATTGGTTGTCTTTTTGATGTCTGGGTTAGCATCCACTCACTGGTGGATGCTTCATTCTCACAGGGATAGGCATGAAAAAATGGCCACATCTCCTTGTGCAGTCTCCTTTGCTTTGCCCTTTCTCTTTTGCTTTCTCTTCCCCATTTCTGTTTGGTGCCCTGTGAGGTGCAGAGAGCTTCTGCAGGTGTGAGGGGTCCAGATGACACTCAGGGTGCCCGTGGGATCAGTTGCCAGCCCTGGCTGCAGCCCTGATGGCTCACATACCTTCCTGTGGCTGAGGGTCTGCACAAAGCAAGTGCTGAGAGATGGAGTTGTTTGCACCTTTTAAATCACATTGCTGTTGTGGGGGTTGTTTTAGTTAGGAGTGTTCTGGGATAAGCCAGAGTTTCAACAGTTCTTGCCCACGGGTGGAATCTTAATCTTCTGGGTCATCCTGCTGCTTTTTTTGGGCGAATGTGTGGAGTGGAGTGGGTGACACACAGGCCTCGATTGTAGAGTGAAAACTCAGCTCCCAAGTGCCAGTGCAGACTGTCAGTGCTGAACTGCCTGCTGGGGCTGACAAAGAAGGAAAATGTCCCAGTAACAGCCCAATGGGACTGTGTCTCAGGGACAGGTACAGGGAGGTGACAAGAAACAGCAGCATGGCCTGGCCTCACAGCTTCTAGGAAGCAGTGATAGAGGGACTTAATGGCAGAGATTTTCAGGAAGATCACAAATGAAGACTCTGAAAGCCTTCTGTTTGCCTCTTGGATTTGTGTATGCTTGTGACAGCCACAGCATCTTGTGGCAATGTGTTCCACGATTTCATTAAATACTCCTTGAAAAGCACCTCCCGTGGCTTGACTGAGCTGCCAGCCTGGTGACTTCAGAGGGTGCTGCCTAGTGCTTGGGTAGAGAGAAAAATCAATCTTTTTGCTACTTGCCTTGCAGGGAACTGAAGAAGAAGGGACTCTTGAACATCACACTGCTGGCTGAGTCCCATTCAGAAGTCCTGCTCTGTCGACTTCGTGAGATTTGCTTGGCAGTTACCAGCGAGGTGAGAACATTGCTCTGCATGGTTCCCATACTTGATACGTGGCTTGTAGAGTAGAATATGTGCTTGTTCATCTCCATGTGTGCTCAGGGACTGCCTTCATTTCTGGTTTTAGACCTTCTATTTCTAATGTCTGCCAGCTATCTGTAGGATCTGTGTGTACATGTAGCTGTATTTACTGGCAGGTCGGATATCTGGCACTTGTCTGTGAGTGAGGTACCATTGTAATGCAAGGCAGAAATGAGACACTAATGACATGATAAGCTAGAGTCCCAATCTCTGCCCAAGCTGTAATTGCAAATGAGTCTGTAGATGTGAGTCTGTGTTTTCTGTTTCCTGCCTGAGTGCTTCAACTACAGGTGTTGCTTTTTTGAACAGGAGCATCTGACTGTTTTATCTTTAGGGCTTGTGTCTTTATGGTTTGAAAGCAGCCCTTGCTTTAATTTGCTTCTTTGTTTTTCAAATCAAAGGGTCTAAAATCAAAGCAGCCCTTAGCCCTTATAGAAGGGTTAAGTGGAACACTTTAGTGAAACCTATTTTTTTATGCCTGCAGTAAGCAGGTATGTGGCCAGAAATTGGTGCCAGAGTAAGTGCCTTTCTGTGCTTGGGCTCTTCTGCTCCTACTGTGCTTTTATACACAGTGGGACGTGTTGTGATTTCCTGGGAGTTTTGTCTAAGGAAATTGGTTTTCTTTTCAAGGTGATTCTTATGTTTCCCCTCATGACTTCCCCAGGTGACCAACCTCCGGTCCAAGGTGTCCTGCTCTGCAATCGTCACTCTGGGAGAGCTCTTTGTGATCTTGGGGAAGGACATGGACTCCGAGGTGGATGAGATTGCTGCAGTCCTTCTCCACATGTTGTGGAACTCCCCAGAGTTTATTCAGAAGGCAGCCTGTCAGAGCCTGGGGATGATGGTAGAGAACGTGACTCCTGCACGAGCAATGACTGCTCTCATGGACAAGGGAGTCAAGTAGGTCCTTCTTCTTTCTGTGATATTCTTGACCTTCCAGTGTGTGGGTGAGGGAAGAGATGAGAGAGAGAATGGGAATGGTGGAAGGGAAGGGTCCTGTATCCTGCATCTTCTGTGGACTCAGTGACTTGATACTCTGATTAACCTCATTTCTCCTTTCTGAGAAATAAGGAGAGTACTTGCTGGGGTGTGGAGCACATCAGGGAGAATGTGCTGGGTGTGGCCTGCACAGCAGGTGCAGCTCCTGCCAAAAGGAGCCTTGTATGAGTGTCCTGGCCTTAGAGCTCTACTTTCTATTCAAACTGATGTTTCATGTTAGCCCTGAGATGATGAAGCACTTTCCAGGCACCCTGACAGGCCCAGTGCCATGGGACAGCTGAAGCAAATGCTGCCTTAAGTGTTGGTGCTGGGCCTTGGCTTCCCAAGAGACAGTCTCTAGAACAGGACACGCTGGCTAAACTGACTGCCAGGCTTTCCTCAGCTTTGGAATAGGGTAAAACACTCACATGTATCCCTTGCCAAGCTTTACAAAAGAAACATGCTGCATTGCAGGATATTCTGCAACTTCACGGCCCACAGCGTGTTTGCCCTGCATTTGTGTTTTCCTAGGGGTGGGCAGACTTCGGGATGAATGGGTGGAAAGAGCCTCATCCTGCTGCAGCTCTCTGTAGTGGGTGCCCTCTGATGGGTCAGCATGAATTGTCCTTAATTTGTAAATAATTCCTATGTAATCTATTATTTTAATCTTTCTCCAAGTAAATTTTGGGAAAGAAATTGAGTATCAGGTAGTGCAGGGAGACTGAATTCTTCCCTCTTCCATGCAGACAGCCCTTCTGTACAATGCTAACTTTGTGTTTATCTGAGGACAGAACCTTCTGCAGGTGTCTGCAGCTGCAGGGAGAAGCCAGGCTTGTTCCCCCAGCAAGGACAGGGAGCAGGCTGTGGCCAAGGCCTGTGCTGCTGCTGCTCCTTCTCCCTGTGCCTCAGGGTTTGCTCTCTCCTTCCCAGGAGCCGCTACATCCCGGCGCGGAAGTGTGCGGCCGAACTCCTCCTGTCCTTGATAGAGAAAATGGGAGTCACGAAGCTCGCAGCCACACCCAGGGCTGAGAGGCTGGCACAGGTGGCAGGGACATTTGCTCAGGACTGTCACAAGGACACGAGGTAATGATCTTCATTCCACCTCCTAAAACAGGAAAACTGTTTTGTGTTTAGCTTTAAGTTAAAACCAGAAAAGAGTGGAAACTCAAGGAAATCATAAGTGACCTCACAGTGTGGCTAAGGGGCATAGAACCATGGAATAAGCAGAGTTGGAGGGGGACCCATGTGGGTCATCCAGTCCAGCTCCTGGCCATGTGCAGACCAGCCCAAGACTCACTCCATGTGCCTGAGAGCATTGTCCAAACGCTTCTGGAGCTCTGTCAGGCTTGGTGCTGTGACCACTGCTCTGGGTTGCCTGGGGAAATGACTGTACTGGGTAACCTGAGGTTGGCAGCAAGGAGCATTGCCAATTTCCTGTGACTTGAAAGATTCTTTACTGAGATCAAAAGAGCTCCAATTAGCCAGTCCAACAGTTTTGTTTGGCCTTGGGTGCACAAGAGAAAGCCAAAGTATTGGCTAATGTTCATCACTGAAGGATCCCAAACATCTGTTTCTCATTAACTTCCGACTTTTCTAGAAATATTTCAGAGGTCTTTAGCCAAGGTCTTCAGTCTTTCTAAACCTCTTCTGCAGATTTCTAGAATGCTATTATCTGTGGCTCTGTGACCTCCAAATTTCTTCTTGAAGAGAATTGTGGTTTCCTAGCGGCAAAATCACCCCCAGCCACCAAAATCCCCTTACTTTGATGATGAAATTCCCATTAACAGCTGCCAAGAACACCAGAGCAACTAGCTGCCCATACAGATAGTGCATACAGATATAGAATAATCAAGAGCAAGGAGGAGGTGTTTTTGTCCTGGCTTCCCTGCCAGTTAAAGAAAGGAAAATTGATGTGCAAGGGCAGCAGGACACTGCTAATAGGCTCTGGCAACAAAGCAGATGTGTTTCCCTTGTTGCCTGGCATGCTTTGATCCCCCAGAAGCACACCCCCAGTTTCAGAGAGAAATGGTATTTTTCTGTTGCCCCACATTCTCCTCTTGCCTCTTGTGTTCAGCTGACAGCACTGTGCAGTGTCAAGGGAGGTAAATCTCCCTCTTTGCTGAGTGTAGGCAATGCCTTCTCATGCAAGGATTGCACCTGATGAGTTTAAGGCATCAGCCTCTTCTGTTAACACTTCCTTTTTTCACTTTTCTTTCATTTCCTTCCTTCCTCCCTTCCTTCCTTAGGCATTATGGTCAGGAGATGGTGAAGATGTTGCTGAGTAATCAAAAATTTAAAAAGCTTTTGGAACAATCTCTTTCCACGCATGACCTGGAAGATATCCTGACAAGAATTAAGAAGAAAGTAAGTGCTTGGCAGGAGAAATGTCTCCTTTGTGCAAGTATTGCCACTGCTAATAGGAGAACAAACATACCCAATGTGTCTTTATCTCATTCCTCTTCTGCTGAATCATTTTGCTCCTGGGAAGGAGCTCTTAATCCTCAGCCTGTTCTTCTGAAGACCACAGAGGAACTGATATTATTAGGGGGAAAGTGAGGTTCTGAACACTTTGAATATGGGTCACAAAGAGGAAAGGGAAAGAGGAGAAAATGGGTTTACATTCACGTGTAAGCCCCCACAGCACTCTCCCTACTCTGCCCTCAGTAAAGCAATTAAGTGACAATAGTGCTTCTGAAGATAACAGAGTCTTTGCAAAAGAGACTCTAAGTCTCTTAGTAGTACCAAGAAAATTTCCAAATATAGAAAAGATGTCCAAGTCAATCCTAGTTACTACAATTATTGTCTGTCTTTTGGGAATACTGCCCTGCTGTCAAGCCCTGTGGAGCTGGAAGAAGCTTGGTAAATTCAGCAGCATCCAGTGGAAAATCATTTGTTTGATTGGGGGGATTTTATTCTTTTTATCTACATTACAGAAGAGAGTGTGCCTTTGTGCAGGAGCAGGGAGAGTAAGTGCTGAACCAAATCAACTTCCAACACAATGGGCCAACCCGCAAAGAGTCCAATTTTTTCTGCTGCTCCCTTTAAGACCACTCATTGCCTACCAGTTTGCATTATTCCCATTTATGCTCAAGACTAATGAATTTGGGATTTTAGACAGCAGCTCAGTATGGTAGCACCCATAACCTGCCTTGGGCTACCAAAAACAAAGAGTTGGCATCACTGAATCTCTGGTCTGTTTATTTCTGTAAGTTAGGAAATGTTTCCCTAAGCCTTGGTAGCAGTGATCCTGGTTCTAACTGGTGTTTTAAAGAACGGGGAATTTCCTAGTTTATATTCTAAAGATTGATGGGGTTTCTCTGTGTCTCTGTAGGGGATGGAAAGCCAGAAGGGTGAACGCCCATCTGTCAAGGAGCCGGTGAAGAAGATGAGCGATGGTGCGAAGAAGCCCCAGGCCACATCGCCTTCTAGCAAACGGTACTGAGCACTTTTGCCAGACGTGACAAAGCCCATGACAAGCTTTACATGCCTCTTCCTCAGGCAAATCTTTCTGGTGGAGATGACCAGTGCCAAGGATTGTTTCCTTTCCCTACAAATGCTCTAGGATAAAAAATGTCTATTTCTGCATTGTGTTGAACACAGCTTCTCTGGAGGGCTTTGCACAAAAATTGGGCGACAAAAAGTCACCCATTGCTTGCAGTTCAGATGATCCAGTGCAGTGGCAAGGGCAGGGTTGTGGAGGCTAGGAGAGGGCCAAGTCTCTGCTGCATGACTTGAGACAAGTAAATTCAACCAGGGTTTTTGTCATCCAAGTGGAGTCCTTTTTAGATGGGTGTTTTAATGAGAAGTCCCAGTCTAAAGGCAGGATGCCATTCCTCCATCAAGCAGTTGCCTTCCATGAGGTTTGGCCTGGCTGGTTGTTGATTTTCTTACCCTCACACAGTACCAAGTTTGAGTAGTAAGGAGCAAGGCAATTCCTAAGTCATTTTGGTCAGGAGGTGTCTCAAGGTGGACATTTGTCTTGAGATTCCTGTCCTTCATACAGTTTGCTTGATGGACAGCGCGTTTGGTTTATTTCCCCTGTGCTGCAATCAGCATTTAAGACAGGAATTTGGTCCTTGCTTTCTCTTCATGCCAGTGGCAGAGCTACTTGTACTGTTCTCCTCTGATAACAGAGGGGATTTATTTAGCTCTGTCATGCTCAGCGGTGGCAGGAAAGTGACCACATGCCTCAGTAGCACAGCTAGCACCTTGCCGTGCTCATGGAAGAGACAGGTTGATCCAAGAGGATTATTCCCAGTGGATTTGTTAAGCTGTGCATCTAGTCTCTAGGAAAGCAAACAAAATGCGAGCGTAGTTCTGAGGTGTCTGGCTTCTATTTATCTCTGTGTTACTGATTTTCTGGATCCTTCAGATATGCCCCTGTTCATCTGTTCAGATGCATCTGAGCTACTTTTGCAGATTGTCACGCCTGGTTGTAGAGACACTTCTCCAGAGTGATGAGTTTCCTTATTATGAGACACACAGGTCCCATATGAGGAGGCATTTAAACTTGGAAGCAGTGTCTCCTTCCCCACAAAGCAATGTGACCCGTGTGTCTTGGAAGCCATCTGAAGATAGATCAGATGCACCTCATCCTTGGTTTTCCTGAGTAAGCACTGGGAGAATGTTGCTTGCAGATTGTCTCCCGTAATGATTGTCACGAGGTCCACGTTGTTCTTCAGAGCCTCATGATTTTCTAGCTTGAAATCACATCATTAGGAAAGCTCCTCAAGATGTTTGGCTCACAATTAACTGAAGGTATTATCAGCAACAGGTCCTAATTTGGTTTTGTTTTCCAGGGCAAAGTCTGCCACTGATGGACACCGCCTGCACCGTGCAAGAGCCCAGGTCACGTTACCTGCAGCAGTGGAAGAAAGGGAGCTGCTCCAGAAGCTTTACCATCTCCTGGAAGCCAAGGGGTTCCAGACACGGATGGAAGGAGTGGCGCTCCTCCTAGACCTGTCCAAAAGCAGACCCCAGCTGATCTCCACTAACATTGTCCAAGTATGTAGGATATTTTCATTGCTCCTTTCATTTAGCTCCTTTCCCAAGCCTGCAGAAGTAAAGTTAATTCAGTGTGTCTTGGCACTCCATCCTGGCTGTTTGGGACAGGCTGGTCCCTCTTATCCAGAGAAACTTACTGAGCTCCAGGCTTCAGGACAAGTTATTTCATCCAGCTGTATCTGTCTGGCAGGTGCCTATTGCTGCTGTTCATCAGAAGATGGCAGAATTTTCTGCTGGTGTAACCTCTGCTGTTTCCTTCTCCCAGCTGGGTTAAGTGAAGGGAATTGAGCCACTGAAAACATGGCAATTATTCTCTAGAGAAAAAATGGGATTGCATGGGGAAGAGAACTATCAGGCTGGGTTGGTTTAAACAAAATATTTTTAAAAGGATACTTCTGTAAACTCCATCTTGTCTTGCACAGGTAAAACTCATTTCCATCCTCTTGGTAAAAATGGTGCTCAACCTTCTTGGGGGGCCTTTTTTTCTTTTATTCTTCAAATAGGGAGAGATCCATCCCTTCTCCTCCCAGGAGCTGCTTTTTCCCTTTATCCAGAAAAGTGTGTCTGATAAGGTGGCTGTCAAGGGACTGAACCTGCTCGAATGAGAGCTGTACAGCACATTACATTTCACAAGTCCACCTGTTAGTTAGAGAAATGGTCTGGATCCTGGAAGAGTTAACCAGAGCCCTGCCCTTCTCCAGACACAGGTTCTGAGACAGACATAACAAAACTTAGATCCCCTCCAGCCATAGTTTTGGCAAAATCATAGCAGCCCTCAATACTTGAGGCAACTGTGTAGAAAAATGGGCATTGCAAATATCTGCTTCCATACTTGTAAAGCAAAGGTAGTCTTTTGAATCAATACATTGAATTGATGTAATGATTTATAGGTGGAGAGGAACACCATAAGAACTTTTCTGTCCCCAACCAAAACTCTTAAAAACAGATGAAAATCTTTCAAGCAGCATGAGGTTGTGCAACCATTCCAGTGAGTGGCCCAGAGGAAAACAGTGAAATTGTGCAAGCAAGGGCTGACCTGAGAGAAAGGATCACTTTCATCTTTTAAATTGCTGAGTGCTGATTTCTACATGCCCTCTTCAAAACAAGGTCATTTAATTCAAGCTTCCATGTTGTTTGTTCTCTTCACAGATTTTTGATTATTTTGTCCCGAGAATATCTGACACACATATATGGGCTTCTTCCTTTTTGCTCTGGGATGCAGAACCTTTTCGCTGCTTCCATGTGACTGAACTCTTGAGGTCCCTGATGTGAAATGTTTTAACATAGCTCCTGATGGAGCAGAAAACTTTGGGATTGCAAATGTGAAAGGAGAGCTTTTCTTTTGGAATTTTAAACCCTGCCAAGTAGGCTGGAAAGAAAGAAGAAAAGGATTCAAAAATCAGCAGAAATGGACGTTATTGTATAAAATGGGGTTGCCCCTGCCCTTTCGCTCTCCACTCTCCTTTCTGCTATGCCCTCAGAAGAGTGAGCAGAAACGTGTGTTTCACTTGTAGATGAAGTATCACTGATGAAAGAGCTCAGCCACCAATGGAGCCAACTGAGTGGCGAAGCTCTGCTGGCTGTCACGGAGCGTATCGCAGGTACGGCCTCCCCTTCTAAGCCAAGAGGTCTCCGAGGGAGTATTTACAGGGAATGCTTGTGAACAGACAGTAGAGTAGCTCCTCCATGTCAGGAGGTGCTGAGCTCTCACGGGGGCTCTTCTCAAGTTCAATAGCAGCCAAAGTGTTTAATTGCATTTAAACTCAAGTGAAGTCCAATTTTTTAAATGGGTACCCTACCCCTTTTCTTGCTTAGCAGAAGTGTATTAAGTTAGCAGACAGCACACCTCCACACGTGCAGGAAAACCTCAACAGCCTTTTGGGCTGGTGAAGGTTTGACGTTCTCCAGAAAGCGGACAAAGTTCTGAGTTGGACACCACCGGACGTGACTTTCCAGCTGTGAGAAAAATGACAAAATACTAAGGAAGGGTGTGCATCTGACCGTGCCCCTGTTATCACCATTGCCCTTCGTAGTCATGACATGGGGGGCCAGAAGAAAACCCAGACTGAAGACAAGTGAAGACCAAGCATGGATCAGCCTGAAGCAAACACAGACTGAGGACACGGCAAACACCAAGCATGGATCAGCATCAGACAGAGGTGAGGTGGGAGCTGGGTCGCTCTGTGTTGGGAGGAAGGGTCTTGTGGCAGCCCGGAGAGGCTGTGCACATTGGCTGGGAACACTGGTGAGAATTGCACAATGGCTGTGCACATTGTGCCACGCATGTGCCCATGCAAGGAGCTGTGCTGCTGGCAGTGCCCCGTGGAGCCGTAGGGCTGCTCAGCTGTGGGTCAGGGAGAGCAGCAGGAGGGTGCATGTGCAGCTGAGCCATTGCTGGAGAGCACAGGGCTCTGGGCTCCCTGCTGTCCCAGGGCAGCCCAGAGGCCAGGCTGTTCCTGTGGGAGCCCTCTGGAAGTGGGTCAGGGTTTTTCCCTGGCCTGCCTCTGTGGCTGCTGGCAGGAGCATATTTCCCTGTGCAGCAGTTTAGAAGTTTTCAAGGAATCTGTCCTATGAAATATGGAGCTTCAGATGCTTTAGGTTGGCACTGGGGGCTCTGATACATTTTGTGTCTCCACTTTGCAGGCCTGACTGCCTACCCTCTTGCCAGGAGGTTTTCCCTGGCAAGTCCCTCAATGCTCCTTCCCTCCAAGCCAATGCTTCCCATCCTGAGGAGCTCTCCTTCTGCCAAGCCAAGCAAGATATACCATGGAGAGCAGGAGACTGGGAAAGTTGGCAGTGGCTGGGATGAGGAGAGAAGAAAGAAACAGGAGCTCACATCAGAGGGAAAACCAAGTGAGGTAAGGAGAACAAGCTAAGTCCAGTGTGGTAAATGTTCAGTTTATGTGCTGTTGGCAGAGCTCTGAGACCTATTCCCTGACAGGAACTGATCTCTTCTGGGTCCCCTGCTGGACTTGGCTGTTATTTCAGCCAGAGCTTGGCCAGCTCTGTGTGACTCCAGCAACTGAAATCTTAAGACAATTAACCATCTTTGCATCCTGTTGGGTTTATGTGTTGCATTTCCTCCTTCATGAGAGTGGCCATGTTAGGAAGGTTTGCCTCCTTGCATGGTACGCCCATTCCCTCCCTTCTCTTTCTAGCTCCTCATGTTCTTTTGTCCTGCGTTTTCTCCAGGCCAAGACCCAGCAGCAGAAGCCAAGAGAATATCTTGGAACATGCAGGTGGGTACAGGGTATCTCTGTCCTAAAATGACCATTGGGATCTTGACTTAGTGGTGACAATTGGAAAGTTTGGTTAAATTGCATTATTTTGAATCTTGCTTTAAATGAATTTCAATTCCTTGATGGGCTCAGTGGTCTCTCCCAGAGCCCAGTCAGTCGGAGTGTTCTCCAGTGGTACAGTGAAAATCCCTCCAGTGTGAAGTGCTGAGTGGCAGGAGCCGGAGTGGTACCTTGGGGTTCTGGAAATGCAGCTGAAGAAAGAAAACATTTCCTCTCCATTCTGCACATGCCTTGTATCTCCCTGCAGTCTCTCAAGTGTCAAACTGAGAATAGAAAAGGGAGGCATTTAGCATGAAATGAGAAATGTTCCATCTTTTCCTCCTGCTTTTGAAGGAGAAAACCTTTCCTAGGTGTAGTTCCTGAGGTGAATGCTTTGCGATGCGAAGGAGATTCATGGGTATTGCCTGGTTTTTCAATGGCAGAAATAGGGAAATCTCCTATGATAGAAAGTCTTTTTGAATTTTCCAGTGAAGGAGAAGGAGACTTCCAAATGGATGCAGCCTAGGTAGGGTATGAGTTTGTCATCCTCTGACAGCCCAAGCCCAAAGCCACCTCTGGCAGGTTCCCAATGACAAATCTCCTCCCTGGCTTAAAAGAGGGTTAACAGAAGAGACTGATGCCTTAAATGCCCTGAACCTGGTGATGGTCCGTTTGGTTGAAGGCATAACAAAGAACCTAAACTCCAAGGATCCCGGGGTTCATGCCGCAGCTGTGAAGGCACTGGACAAATCTGTTGCTCATTTGGGTAAGGCTGAGCCCTGGCATGGATCTCCTCACCTGTGTCTCTGTCTCTCCGACACAAGAGAACGCTGAGTGCCTTGGTAGCTGTTGCTGTCTGTGGAATGCTCCAGCTGACACCCACCAGAAGCTGTGGAGGTGCACTCCTTATGCACCATCCCCAACAGGCTGGAATGTGCAGCAGCATTTCCCAACAGTTCCAGGCACCCATGGCTCTGTACTGCTGGTCTGAAGAGAAAGTCCTGGACTACAGCTTTGCTACAGTTCAGAGGCAAAGGGGTTTTGGAGTTTGCTTGGGCCCAGTCTGACTTGCCAAATGAACAGCTTTGCTGTTGGCATGTAGGGACACCAGCCCATCAGAGCTTCTGCAGGGCAGCCACCTGGGAGGCTCTACATTATAGGCGTTAGCTGCCTGTTTTTCCATTTTTCTCCTGTGTCTTCTTTAGGAACTTCTTCCTAAGTTCTGGGGAATTAGGATTCATCAAGTTCATTTGTTTACAATAAGTTTTTAAATGGGTACCATAACCCTTTTCCTGCTTAACAGAATTGGTTTGGGGTAGTTTCAGGAGCTCTTTCAGTGTTGATGACTGCTGGTGGATTAACAGCATAGAGAAAATTAAGTCTCGTCCAGCACAGAATGGTAACTGGCTACTACATTACCTTTTGCCTGATCAGAAAATAAGGCTGGTCTCCTGAGAATTTCAGGTTTTGATCTCTCAGCCAAATCTGCCATACAAGGAGCCTGTTGGTAGTAACTTTTTGTCTGTGTTTGATATAGTTCAGCTCAGAAAATGAGCAGAGAGCAGATTCCAGAGACAATGTGAGAAAACCCTTGTGTTTTGGCTAAATTTCAGTCCCCTGTGTAGCCTTTTTCTCTCTCTATGCACCTATTTCAGTGCACATTGTAAGAAAAAATGCTATTAACATTGGGAGGTCAAATGCCATTAATATGTGGAGATGCTCAAGTGCCAGGGCAAATGCCAGGGAAATAGGTTTGAGTAATTCTCTAAGATACCCTGAGGTTTGAAACAGCTCTCTGTTGGAAGCCACAAAAGCATTCTGCCAAAGACACCAGCTAGTCACTGATGTTTCTCATCCAGCTGTCAAGCAGCAGCCATCTCTGGTGGGCTGGAGTTTGGAAGTGTGTTCTAATACTGCCCTTTGCTATATGCCACGGAGCAAAGGGAAGAGACAGATTAGACATTTGGCCCTTGACATCAAAGTTACAAAAATGGAATCATTCCTTTTATTAGAAATCTCTCAATTGCCTCTCTAGGGTGCATTCCAAATCTTCCACGTGGGTGTAGACAACTTGTTAATGGAAATAGACGGCAATTTGATGTTTCATTCATTGTTCATGCAGAAAGAAATGGTGCAATAATTTAATAAGGGTACAAAGTCTGCCACAGGTTCAAGGCTCTGGTTGGAAATATTAGTCCAGATGGGTTGGTGGTTGTGTTTCAAGGATGATCAGCTGCTTTGCCCATTTCGGGGTCATGGGGCTGTGTGTGCTGTTTGACGGATCTTAGCCAGAGAGGCTTCCAAGAAGCAAAAGCAGAGGTACATCTCTGTTTGCATGGAGGCATGTGGGTAAGAAGCTGTGTCTCTCTCCCGGCAGTGCTTGTGCAATGGGTTCACTTGAGGAGCCCTGAAGTGGTCCAGCGCTACGCCCTGCCCGTGCTCTGGTCCTGCCTGGAGAACAAGGCGCTGCCTGTGCGAAGCGCCAACGTCTGCGCTGTGGTCACCAAGCTGGCCTGTGCCCTCTGTGAGGTGATGGGCAGCGAGATGATTAAGTTAGCAGACAGCACACCTCCACACGTGCAGGAAAACCTCAACAGCCTTTTGGGCTGGTGAAGGTTTGACGTTCTCCAGAAAGCGGACAAAGTTCTGAGTTGAACACCACCGGACGTGACTTTTCAGCTGTGAGAAAAATGACAAAGTGCTAAGGAAGGGTGTGCATCTGCCCCCACTCTCTCCACCGCCCTTCCTAGTTACGGCATGGGGGGCCTGAAGCAAACCGGGACTGAGGACAAGTTGAAGACCAAGCATGGACCAGCGTCATACAGAGGTGAGGTGGGAGCTGGGTCGCTCTGTGTTGGGAGGAAGGGTCTTGTGGCAGCCCAGAGAGGCTGTGGACATTCCCAGGGAACAGCTGTGCCCTGCATGTGCCCCTGCAATGAGCTGTGCTGCTGGCAGTGCCCCGTGGAGCTGTAGGGCTGCTCAGCTGTGGGTCAGGGAGAGCAGCAGGAGGGTGCATGTGCAGCTGAGCCATTGCTGGAGAGCACAGGGCTCTGGGCTCCCTGCTGTCCCAGGGCAGCCCAGAGGCCAGGCTGTTCCTGTGGCAGCTCTGTGGAAGTGGGGCAGGGTTTTCCCCTGGCCTGCCTCAAGGTGCTGCTGGCAGGAGCATGTTTTCCTGTGCAGCAGTTTAGAAGTTTCCAGGAAGTCTGTCCCATGAAATATGGAGCTTCAGATGATTTAGGTTTGCATTCCGGGCTCTGTTAAACTTTGTGTCTCCGCAGATACGACTGGCTACAGTCTTTCCAAGAGGTTTTCTCTGGACGCTTGGGACATGCTTTTATCAAGGAAGACCTTGCCTCCAGTCCGAAGAGCTGTCTTTCCTCCAAGATCAGGAAGAAGCTGCCGACTGTCCGAAGAATGTTTCAAGAATAGGATTTAGGATTTAGGATTATCAAAAATAGGATTTATCAAGAATAGTGTTTATCAGGAATAGGAATTAGGATTTTGGAGTAGGTTTTAGGCTTCATAGTTTCAGATGTACATATGTTCTGATAGTTTTGAATAAATATGTTTTGAGTCCATCTTTAAATTTTGGTGACATATTTTAATTATATACATTTTATTTGATGCTTTTAAAAAAAAAACTAATTAAGTAAATTTAAATAAACCAAAAGGAGAATGTGAGACCAGGACCTGCTACGGTAGAAATTATGGGAGTGCAGCTCACTCGATGTTCTGATAGTTTTGAATAAATATGTTTTGAGTCCATCTTTAAATTTTGGTACATATTTTAATTATATATATTTTATTTGATGATTTAAAAAAATAATTAATTAAGTAAATTTAAATAAACCAAAAGGAGAATGTGAGACCAGGACCTGCTACAGTAGAAATTATGGGAGTGCAGCTCACTCGATGTGCCAGTGTCTCACCACATCCTTTACTTGCTAGGCCTCTCCTCTTGCTCTTTTGGCATGTTGTCTTTGTGTCACTTGTTCTGCTCTTCGTTACTTGCCATGACAACAGGGCCACACATTGACATGTTTGGGGGACAATGGACCCAAAAGATCCTGTCTAGTCACAAGTTTTCTGCCTAGATGAGTTCTGTGCTCACCAAAGGCCTGAGCAGAGAAACAAAGAGAAGTGTGCCCAAATGCCAAAGCTTTTCTCCTTTGCAACCTCACACAGATCTGGCTCACAGCTGTCTTCAATCACAATTCATAGGTAAGAAGAGGTCGTGTACGTCACTGGGAAATGATACACTGCTTTGGAAAAGTCATCTCTATGTATATTTACCAAAGAGAGCAGTCCAACTTTGTTGTTTGCAACTCGCTTGCAGAAGGATGAGTGGACTGTGAGGCCAATAACAAGTGACAAGGGTTCCTCAAACCTAAAGCGCAGCCCTGGTGCCATTCAGCCCAGAGCTGAGGGATCATTTGTTCCCATGGACCAGTGCTTGCCAGGGTAATGAATTCCTGCATAGCTGGAACAAGCAATTCTGGATTCAGTTCCAGCTCTTGGTGGGCTGCGTGATATTGACAATGCTGCCTTTCCAGAAAATATTCCTTTCACAGTCATTTGAATCTTTTAAACTTCATATTTCAATTTGCTTTGCCTTAGGAAAAAACACTTGTGGGCCCAGTGCCAACTGTAACCTCTTGACAGCAAAGTCCTCATGGTTGCCAGCTTCTGATATTATAGAAGAAACTGCATGTGAATATGTTAACTGGGTTTTCTGAAGGAAAACTTTTCCTGACTCTATGTCACATGGCTGCATGTGTTTGCTTAGCTATGAGTCTAGTCCTGGCCTAGTAAAGCCCAGGCGGGGTGGCATGTTGCAGGGAAAACTAGTGCATGAGCTTATGGGGCTGCCATCAGCAGCAGAGTGCATGTCTGCTTTGGGGATTTCTCTGGAGACACAATTAGGGACCTGCTCCATGCCACAGTATTCTCTTAGATCTTTCTAAAATATCCTAGAAAAGGCAGTGAAACTTCACATCTCCTTGCACAGCCACTGTTTGAACAGGGGCATTCTTGTCCCACCTCAAAGCCATTGCCCTTGCACACCAGAAACATGAACGTCTGCAAAGAGGAACGATGCAAGGTCCTCCAGCTGCTGCTTCAGAGCACTGGGAAGTGCAGACCTGGGTATTACCAATGTGAACACTTAATTGGCATTTCATTCTCCTTCATGACATGCAGATCTCAGGGCTTTTAGTTTCAGCAGCTGCTGTACTGGCTCTAGGGAGAACAGCAAGTGGGAAACAGCGACTGCCAGCCTTGAAGGGGTGTGGGAGAAAACCTGGAGTGTCTGTGTCAAAAGATGAATGGGAAGAGCGTAATTCCAAAGCCAAAGCTTGGTTAGGAGAGCAGGATCAGTTCTTTACTGCATGCTTGGATGAAAATCATTTGGGACCTCCTTTTTGTATCTCATGCAGAAAAGGAGGCCTTAATAATACCATGCTACTTAAACCCACATTGTGATGCAGCTGTGTAGTGGTTCATGATGAAGCAGATTGCCTGCTTTGTCACTGCCAGCCCTGGTGACCCTGCGAGGGACTGTAGTGTATGCCATGCCTGTTTTGCCTCCAAGCAAAGCTTGGTTTTGCTTCTTAGTGTAGAATAAATACAAGAATAGTAAAATGGACAATTAAAGTGGCCACTTTGGAGGATATGCTCATGGTTTCGCACATCAGTCTTGTACTTCATGCTCTCAAGGCTTGTTACTCATCATGAAATATTTTAATAGCAAAACTCAGATCCCATGTCACACATGAATAAAATTGCATCAGATCATCAAGATTTCTGCAGGCAGGAACAAGACAAAAGCCTTCTGGCTCTCACTTTAAGCTGTCCTGGATTTCTGCAGCCCTTTCTGGAAGCTGCTGTAGGCAGAGTGTTTGGAGTTGTTTTTATGGGCTTTATGAAAGATATGTGGAACATATCTGCAGGGCTCTCCTGGCAGAAAACTATTTGTCCAAGCCCAGGGCATCGTGCCAGCAGAAGCGGAGTGGCCTCGCTCCCAGCCCGAGTGTATGAGCGGGGCCAGAAAAGACACCGAGGGGCTCCAGCCCAGCTGCTTCACCTGCCGTGACCACTCCACAGAACTCTGCCACTGGGAGAAGGCGATGCCAGACGAGCCACCAAACTTTCATCTGCTGCTGGAACTGCTCCGTGACAGCTCCTGTTCTTCCTGAGGGAGAACCCGGCGCCATCTTGTAACCCGTGTCCTGGGGGGATTGTCCTCCGGCATTTTGGGTCTTTGTTCCTGAGCGGGGACAGTGAGGTCTGACAGTTTGATATCTAGAAGTCACTTGCCATTTTTCTTGCTTTTCAGGCTTTCTGCTTGTTAATAAACTCTTGGAGTTTTTTCCACTTTCATCTATTAGTATTCATTTCCTATTGCTGGAAAGGGACTGTTGGAACACTTTAGAAGAGATGACTTATTGCAGAGTGTCCTATATTAAGTTGTCCCAAACTGTGTGGGACAGATGGCTTCACTCAGGAGCATCCTCAAAGCTGCTGAGGGGAAGGCACAGAGGAAGACAAACCCAGTGTTTCTGAAGGGAAATTCCTTGACACCAAACCAACCTGAGTTGTCAAACAGCGCACCTGACCTTTCGAGACATGGGCCAAAGGGGAAACCTTTCAGGGTGCTTGGTCAGGGCCGGGCTATGCTCAAGGCAAAGGTGTGTCAGTGCGCTTGGCTCCTTCTCTCCTCATTGTGTCCAGAGCTCCTGCAGAAACCATCACAGCACTCAGCGGAAGCAACTTGTGTCCAGTGCTCACATAGAGCTGTGGTGTCCCTAGGCTCGTGATACAGTGATAACCTTTGACACTTTTTCTCGTTTCCAGGTCTGTTTTTGAATTGACTTTCATGCAATTGTTCTTTGTTTTTCCCAGGAAGATTGCACCTGGTGCCTGGATTTGATGGAAAAGCGTCTGCACTGTCCCGCACTGTGTCCAGTGCCAGCGCTACTCCAGTGGGCCACGGTCTGCGGGGACATCCCCTTCAAGAAGGACTTGGATATTGTGTAGGATCAGCTCCTCTCCTGGCAGCAGGTCTCCAGAAGTGGGTACCTGGCTCCACAGCTCGGCTGGCAGAAGGGCTTCGGGCCGAAGGCAGCAGGCACACGGGCATCCCGCTCTTGCAGCTGCTGAGGAGGTTGCCGTGCTGTGCTGAAGCAGAGGAGGTGGAACGTGGCCTGCCATGCTGCTCTTCTCTAAAAACAGAATGGGTCATGATGTTTGGGCTCTGAGCACAGCCAGCAGTCTGGCCTGGGCACAGGCCATGGTGTGACAGGGGGGACAGTAGCCTTCTGCGACTGACCGTGGTTCTCTGGTTTCTCTCTCCAGGCTGCCAGAACCTCATGCCATGGAAACGGCACTTCTCAACCTGCTGGTCTGGGAGGGCTGGAGGGTTCATTTGCTGTCAGAAATAAATCATTTTGTTGTCATCATCATAATTTGAGTCTTTCTTTTATCCTTTTTCAAGCTTTTGTCCTGGTTCCTGCAGGATAATCTTCTTGTGCTTTTCTCAGGCTTTTGGCATTGGGGGTAAAATAAGGTAAAATAAGGAGTTCCTGGGCGGGGCACAGGCCTCTCGGCACAAACATTGGCCCTATTTCCTCTCAAATAAAACTCATCACCCCAGTGTGTTGATGCCAGTTTGGAGGAGGCATTTGCCACTCTGAGGGTAACCTGAGTTCTTGGTGGTGGCAGCTTTGTCTGGGAGAAATCCTGCGCCATTCAGAATTTTAGCAGGCAGAAGGCTACTCGGGGTCACAGACCCCTGGGTGGGGAGCAGTCCCCTGGACATGAATGCCTGTCCTTTTCCATGGGAAACAAAACTCACCACCCCTAGTTCCCTGATGTCAGTTTGCAGGAGGCGCTTGGCACTGCTAGGACAGCCCAAGTTGTAGGTGGTTGCAGGTTGCCTTAGGTAGACATGCTATGCTGTTAGGAATTTTAGGAGGCGGCAGCCCATTTGGGGCCACAGGCCCCTGGGCTACATGCAAGCCCCTGGACATGAACACTGGGCCTTTTCCATGGGAAACAACACTACCACCCCCAGTTCCCTGATGTCAGTTTGCAGGAGATGCTTGGCACTGTCAGGGAAGCCTGAGTTGCAGGCGCAAGGGACTGATAAGTTAATTAGCATATAAAGTGGGACAAAGTGGAGTCAGGAAATGAATATGCATAAATATTTACGTTGAAAAATCTAATGTAAATGTAACATTTTAGAGGATAGAAAAGAATGCTGAGAGCAAGTTGATCCGTGTGCCTTTGCGGAGGTATCCTGCATGCGTCTGGCAGAAAGTACACACCTATATTATAACTCACTTTGTCTCTGAGCTTTAGAGTCTTTCTACATATCATTTTGGTGACCCAGCTGTAGGACCAACTGAGTGGTGGACTTCCTGAGGCATGTCCCCGGGATTTTCCCTGGAAGGGTTTCCACTTCTTGGATCACTCACTGTGGGAACAATGACCTGAGCAGTGGAGAAACGATATGTATTTCTCTTTAAAAGGGAACCCCGGAGGGGTCACTGAT